AGCACATAAACATACATTTATACATATATGATATACTGATATGGGTCACAGAACACAAAAACATACATGTATACACATATGATATACTGATATGGGTCACAGAACACAGAAACATACATGTTTACACATATGATATATCCTACTGATATGGGTCACAGAACACAGAAACATACATGTATACACATATGATATAACCTACTGATATGGGTCACAGAACAAAGAAACATACATTTATACACATATGATATACTGATATGGGTCACAGAACACAGAAACATCCATGTATACACATATGATATACTGATATGGGTCACAGAACACAGAAACATACATGTTTACACATATGATAAACTGATATCGGTCACAGAACACATAAACATACATTTATATACATATGATATACTGATATGGGTCACAGAACACAGAAACATACATGTATACATATATGATATGCTGATATGGGTCACAGAACACAGAAACATACATGTATACTCATATGATATACTGATATCGGTCACAGAACACAGAAACATCCATGTATACACATATGATATACTGATATGGGTCACAGAACACAGAAACATACATGTATACACATATGATATACTGATATGGGTCACAGAACACAAAAAACATACATGTTTACACATATGATATGTTCTACTGATATGGGTCACAGAACACAGAAACATACATGTTTACACATATGATATATCCTACTGATATGGGGCACAGAACACAGAAACATACATGTATACACAGATGATATACTGATATGGGTCACAGAACACAAAAAACATACATGTTTACACATATGAAATGTTCTACTGATATGGGTCACAGAACACAGAAACATCCATGTATACACATGATATATTGAGATGGGTCACAGAACACAAAAACATACATGTATACACATATGATATACTGATATGGGTCACAGAAACAGAAACATACATGTATACACAGATGATATACTGATATGGGTCACAGAACACAGAAACATACATGTATACACATATGATATATCCTACTGATATGGGTCACAGAACACAGAAACATACATGTATACGCATATGATATACTGATATCGGTCACAGAACACAGAAACATCCATGTATACACATGATATATTGATATGGGTCACAGAACACAAAAACATACATGTATACACATATGATATACTGATATGGGTCACAGAAACAGAAACATACATGTATACACATATGATATATCCTACTGATATGGGTCACAGAACACAGAAACATACATGTTTACACATATGATATACTGATATCAGTCACAGAACACATAAATATACATTTATATGTCTATTTATGTGTGTTGTGACCCATATCAGTTGATATGTGCATTTCAGACATTTGTAACGAATCCCTGTGAATCTACGTTTTCGGTCTGTTCTTGGGGTTGCCTACTTATAAAAGGCAGAATGGGTAGATGGAAGGAGACTTTTTAGGGCAGTACAAGACTTGTCACTACCGCATGCAACCGTGAGCTGATAATATTTTGTTGATTGGTCGTTTTTGGTTGTTTGAACGATTTTTTGTGCTGCTTCAATAAAAATGTGAAGTCTCAAGTGATATCTTTATTTAAACATGTCAATAGTTATCTCCCTTCGCAAAAGCATAGCACAGGCAATGCTAATCTGGTCAAATTCATCGGCAAATGAAACAGGTTACATTTGGTAGTTGCATTGAGTCCAACTTGAGTAGGAATTGAAATATTTGAGTATGAAAGCAAAAACTCTCGTGACGTAACATGTGGTTTACTTATGACGTCATGGATTAACTTTGTTCAATGAGGTCTTGTCGCTTCGCTTCGGAAAACATGGAGCCCCTGCGTCAAACACTCAAATGACTACGATGAAATATTGGCGCTAATTTTATTTAAATAGAGCTATTTCGCCAATGTTGTTTAAAGGACGCGCATATACAAAACGTAGTAAATAAATGAATCATTTAAGAACAAATAAATAAAATTCAACAATCGTTCTATAATAAAAATGTAAATATATGGATTGAACGACGGTTTTGTTTTCAATTTTCATGCCGGCATGAACACAAATCGGTTACATACATATTAAACATGAAGCCCTTGCGGGCGGCTTCATGCAATATGGGTGTAACCGATTTGCGTTCATGCCGGCATGAAAATTAAAAAAACACCATTCAATCCCTATGTAACGTCTATAACAATGATCGATAAACCTTGTTACATGACTTCATCTAAAGTTTATAAACCTAGGTTATGCGGAGTTTCTCTTCGTTTTTACTAGATTTGGAAAAAAACCCATACCGTGTTTGAACTATACTTAGATGGTTGTGGCATTGTGAAAGTATTCTTTCGTATCATTTAGCATTGTTATATAGACAATATATCATTTTCAATACAGGATATCTGTAACATGTCTTACTCTCTTTCTAACACCACAGAATGTTATGAAACGGCATCATGTAAAGCTCATTGATCAGTGTAAGTTACTTAGCTGTTCTGTTATTGCCGATCCACTTAAGTATAATACTGGGGTACTTTACTATGGTTTATCTGTGTCTCTTTACTGTAGTAATCTGGAGTTGAAACTTGTATGCCTTTCTAAAGCTACCTAAAGTTAAATTTATTACATAAATGAATTTACATAATATGGAATAGTATTGCATCCTGCTGGAATTCTGAAGATCTAAAAACAAAACGACAAGTTAACAGTATACAATTGTTTCATGGCTATTTCGGGAACAGTCAAAACTATCATCCCGAGGTAGGGGGAAGCCCTGGGGAACTGTTTGGCCGCTAGACAATTGTTTTGTCTGCGTAAAAAACACTGAGTCGCAGTCGCCGAAACGCTTGAACAGGGCTCTCGAATTCGCGCCGGGTAACAGTTCGCTCTGACCGAGAAAAGTTTTGACAGTTTCACCCCTACAGCGAAAATCGGACAAAAAGCAAGAAACAGTAAAAATTGACTAATTATAATTTGTAGAGACTATTGGGTAATAATAGATATTGCTGATGGACTGTTTTTTATTGAGACCTCAGCTTTAATGCCTTATTATTAACGAAGTTAACGTGACTTTGCCCCTTTAAATAGCTAAGCAAGGCACAATATATCAATGACATTCTAAACAAATTCAAATTACATATCTGATTCCAATGATTCCCTGACCATTCCACGTTGATTTTTAAAACATTGGTTGCATTCTTAGATAAATCAAAAGTTTTTTTATGTTCTTAGTCAAATGAAGTATGAGCCATAAACAAAATATGCTTCACAGTTTAAACGAACCACATAGCACAGCGAGCACAAGTTACAGAACAGAGTGCCAATTCAGGAAGGAGATACCACATACATAAAGCTACACTCACTTCCGTGTATATAATCATACCCGTGTAAATAGTCACCTTCATTGTACAGTTGTGGGATCGCACAACGTTACACGATGTGCGGTGTGCGCACGATGCACTGTAACATTATTATACGTTATCAATGTCCTTAGCGACACATCAGTACTTGGGCCTAAGCGACCCTAATAAAAGCCTCTTTCTAAATACCCAGCGCACCTGGTTGGTCGTCTTTAAAGCACCGATGCAACATGGTGTCAGATAATGCGAATTACGCCCACATGTGTTCATCCTGTAATGTTGTAACACACGATTCATACATTAATCGGAAAATTGAACATTAATAGAACTCAAGTGTTCGCTGCGGAAAAAAAATATATGGCGACCGGTGTAAATTTTGAACAGCCAAGGATTGATTGGGACGCAAAAGACCTGTATCAAGAGTTTCAACGGTTCAAACAACATGTAAACTTCACATTTAAAGGACCGCTGACACAACCAGCCGACAAAGATCGTGCTGGCTGGCTGGGTATGCGGATTGGGCAAGCTGGTCGAGAGGTGTACAAAACACTGGAATGGGCCAAGGGCGAAGAGGACGACCCCGTGAAAATGCTCGACAAACTTAACGAATATGTGCAAACTAGGAAAAATAAAGACCTCAAGTTGCTGATCTTGGAGTGTGAATATGGTGACTCTGATGACATTTTGGTTGATCTAATTGTAAATGGAGTCAGGCACGCTAAGATCCAGGAAAGACTTCTTGATCGTGGTCAAGAATTGACATTAGCGAAGGCTATTGAAACAGGCCGCAGATACGAAATGTCACAAAATCAGCTAAAGGTAATGAAAGGTGAAGAAATCTTAGGGATAAAAACAAAACCCCACAACACGTAGGCATACAGAAAAAAAACCCAACTTTCAACAGAGGCAGAGCAAACCTGAGAAAAGGGTTAACAACACATGCGGCAAGTGCGGTAAAGCCCATGACAGGGATAGCTGTCCAGCGAAGGGTACCAAATGTTCGTACTGCCATAAAACTGACCATCGGTCAAAAATGTGTAGAAAACGCCTCCGAAAGATAAACTGTATACAAGACGACAAAGAAACGGAATGCTACGAGTATGATGATGATTTATTACACATATACTCGACTAGTGACATGTCGCGAATAGCCGATTCAGACAAGTGGGTATGCGAACTTAAAGTGCGGGACAAGCTAATAAAATTTCGCATTGATACTGGCGCAAAATGCAGTATATTGACTCAAGACACATTCAGAAGCATTGATCATGCCAAACTACGGAGGTCATGCAGGACACTCAAGTCATACAGCAACCACAAAATAGTTCCTGTTGGTGCTACGACAGTGCCCATTGAGTACAAAGGGAAACACTCTCTATAGAGTTTGAGGTTGTCAACATAGCTCAGGAGAACATTATAAGTGGTGATATAGCAGAGCAGCTAGGGCTACTACAACGTTTTAACGTTTGTTCACTCGCCTAACAAAGTGAAATAGAACATGATTTTCCTGAGATGACCAAAACAACTGGAACTCTGCCCAGATACTACAAGATCCCGATTGACGAGAATGCAAAGGGAGTGTACATGCCGTGCGGAGGTTACCAGTAGCTGTCAAGGAACGAGCCATGGAGAAACTACTCGAAATGGAAGCAGACGGGTACATTGCTAAAACTTCAAAACCGACTGATTGGGTCAGCTCCATGGTCGTATCCCTTCGCAATGACAAAGTTCGTGTGTGCATAGATCCCAAAGATCTAAACAAGGCGATTAAGAGAGAACACCACCCCATGAGGACAATTGAGGATGTTGTCTCCAACATACCTGGTTATAATGTGTTCTCAAAACTGGATGCGAAGTCAGGTTTCCTACAAATTAAGCTCGATGAAGAATCTTCCTACCTCACTACCTTCAATACTCCGATAGGAAGGTATAGATGGCTTAGGCTGCCATTTGGCATCACATCAGCACCTGAGATCTACCAAAGGATCATGGATCAAATGTTGGAAGAAATCGATGGAGCATTCGCGATCATTGATGATATACTTATAGCAGGTCAAGATATGGAAAATCATGGCAAGATACTGAAACAAGTCGTAGAACGTGCGATGAGCTACAACCTGAAGCTAAACTTCAAGAAATGCTGTATTAGGCAACCCAAAGTGACATACATGGGTCGCGTGCTCACAACTCAAGGACTATCAGCCGACCCCGGAAAGGTTGACGCTATAGTTAACATGCCAGCACCAAAGAACAAGGATGGTGTACGCAGGTTTTTGAGATAAAGTCTAAAGTGAATTTGCAGTACACTGAACATTTCGAACTGTTATAATATGTAGTTGAGTTCGAGACCTGCACTGTGTTTTGGACATAATACTCCCTGTGCAGTCTCTTAGAACAAAAAGTTCTAATCAGTTTAAACTCTAGTCATGTTAATTTGTTTGTTAAAATATCATGACCATCTTTGTCTGACTTCAACTTATCACTAACGAGTAATCCAAGTTATAGATAGCATAGGACTTGAACCACAAGAACTGTGTTAAAATAATGTGTGTTATCATGGCTTAACCTCCACTATATTTCATATTGTATTAATCAATTTGAGTGATTTCTCAATCTCATTATAAAGAGAAGGATGTAACATCATTATACGTTATCAATGTCCTAAGCGACACATCAGTACTTGGGCCTAAGCGACCCTAATAAAAGCCTCTTTCTGAATACCCAGCGCACCTGGTTGGTCGTCTTTAAAGCACCGATGCAACATGCACGGTGTGTGAACGATGTGTGCACGATGTGCGAACGATAAAAAGTTAGACGATCATTGCTTGCGCACATTTGTGTGCACGATGGAAAACGATGTGCGATAGCAATTGTGGTTGGTGTAAATTGAGGAATGCCTTAACAATATGTGTAAAGAAATAAAATTGATTTTTATGTAAGTTTCTATATTCTACCTACATCTATAAGCTTATCTTTATGTCTATATTTTCTTAAAATTAGAAATTGTGTTTTCGGTATTTTTTAAACGACCTTAATCGACACATGAAATTACAACACAGCCCCGTATACAGCTAAACATAGCCACTTTGTACATGTGCCTGTACCGTAGTTTTCCCCCGCCCGGGGCGCTTACGTATTTCGTCAGGTAGGGCCAAAGATGTGAAAACCCAGGTGAAGGGGAGCTATAGACAAACCGAATACAAATAACAAATACTAAACGTACGGTATCGCATATCAGCTCTATGTGTCAGGTACAGGCCAGGTAAAACTCCGGTCACTCATCAATTATTGTTATTTACCTGTTCTGTTACCTTGTAGCCAAACCCATCCAATGGTCACTGTAATGCTGTGTTACACGCATTGTAAAACTGTACATACTCTTCATATGTAATATATACAGTTTTCATTATTGCAAACGAGCTTTCCGTATATTTTTTTTCTTTCCGTATTATTGATCTACAAATTGTACCCAATCGCACAGTTGTGCGGAAAGATGCGCACAATGGGGCGAACGATTGTTAAATCGCACAGTTGTGCGCACCATGTGTGGACGATGTGCGGACGGTGTGTGAACGATGTATGCACGGTGTGCGCACGCTATTTTTGGTGCGTTGTGCGGTCACACAACTGTACTCTAAATTCATATCTATTGAATCAAGATGCACCTAATGTGTTAAAACGAATATTTAAGAAAACCAGCGATAATTGTACATGTACACAACAGTCATCAGATCGTATATTTCCCATCTGGAAACGTTAAGGCTTAGAATAAATGAACAGGGGATATTTTCAGGATGCATTAACAAGATAAGCGAGGCAGGGGAATTTTCCAATATACATGTAGAAAACATCAGTAAAGATAAGGAGAACAAATTCAATAGGAGTTTATTCAGACAAGCCACATCGGCGTAAACAATTCCACGTAAGTTTGAATATATGTGTTCTGTCATGAAAATATCTACATAAAAATAGATATACACAAGCTCTTACACTTCGTCAATCAATTAACCACTCACACATTTTACCCGCAATATGCGTTTCTTTTTATTGTTTATTGGTTAATGGATTCATTCCGTTCATCTAAATGTCTGTAACTCGGTTACACATTTTGAGTAGTCTTTGAAATGGCGGGCGAATAAAGTTAAGAACAAGTTGGAATATTGCTCTCACTCCTTTTATCGTGGAGATTCTGAAGAAGTTAAAAAGGGATGATTTCTCCTGGAAATCCCTAAAAAGGGTGAAAGTGCGTCGAGGAGAGCAAGATCTGTTTTGCTTTTGGCATTACTTCTATATATTGTATATATTTACACGCCTAGGCGTATGCCTGTTTTAATCAAATACGAGCCTGGATTTAGGTATGTTGAAAGTTTTATACCAATAAATACGACAATTGGGATACAAATATTACATCAAGTTGTCTACTAAATCTAAATATTATCGATTTTAAACTTCAGGAAATCCAGTAAGGCTTTACTGGACACATTTAAAGGAACAATTGAATATTCTGTAGGGTATAATATGCATCTGTTAAATCACGTTTCACGGTCAACATATGTAAATGCTTCATTCACCTCACTATGTCTTAATGGATATCCCGCCCCCCTCCCCTCCCCTATTTTGTCTTACTAAAATGAAACAATGAAGGTGAATACTTTTTTTATAATGAATTACCAAACACATTTAATCCTAGGTAATAAGGTACAGTATAACCGATAGGCGATAAGCGCCTTTTGAAGTCAATGGATATGGCTATTTTAGTGAAATTCGGCACATGCTCAATATACCACTTTCACTATCTTCAACCTATTGTCCACATGGCGCTAACATCTTTTTTTCAAATACAATTAACACAGCATGAGGGGAAATGGTTATGAAAAACTGCAATATTGTCCTATTCACGTGCCGTATATTACCCTTGGACAACTTTGTTGTGTTTGAAACTTAAATACATGTATCAAGTACCCTGACGAAACAGTTTGGATACAATGGATACCATATTGCTTTTATATACTTTACTAATTACTTGCGTGTATTCGTTTCAGAGCAGACAGAAGCACACGCACTCTAGTCGGAGTTCACACATCATTAAGACGTCTTGATCATATATGGATGTCTCCATACAACGGATGGTTACAACCAAAAGGTGACAACAAAGTAGGAGGCCTTCAGACGTAACTTTGCTCATTTATTTTCCGTTTTGTTGTGAACAGCATTTCAAATGTGAATGAAGCTGTGAAGCAATATGGTTATTTGGATTATAATGGAAACATGATGAACGGGGTCATGGAGACGTTGCATATTTTGAACAGAAGCTTTAATTCCAATATGTCCAATGGTGGTCACGTGAATGTCACGTACGGTATTCCCGAGGAGTTTCAGTACACGTTGCTAGGGATGTATGGCGTCACATCGCTGGTCGTACTTCTGGGAAACGGCATGGTCTGTTACACAACAGTTAAAATACACAGCTTTCGAACTGTGACCAATTTTTTCATCGTCAGTCTTGCTGTAACCGATATCGTTATGACAATATCGTGTGTGCCATTTTCCATCCTGAGTAATTTATTTTTTCATTATTGGCCTTTTTGGGACATCTTATGTCCCATTGTCGTGTTCGCGCAATTGGTCAGTGTGTTACTTCGATCGTTCATGCTCGTCGCTATGACATGTGACAGATACCACGTGGCTAGAAAGCCTATGAAGCCACGCCTATTGACAAAGTGTCGAGCGAAGTTACTGGTGGTGCTGATATGTGCCTTGTCCTGTTTGATATCTCTTCCTACGTTTCTATACTCAAAAATAAAATACATGCCTTATGAGCCCGGATCCAAAGGTCTGTGTTTGGAGCTATGGCCGGACGAATTCGTTCGTAGCATATATGGAGTTTTCATAATGTTGATACAGTATTTTATCCCTCTGATAATCATGGCGGTCACCTATATACACATTGGGATCATAGTGTGGGTAAAACAGACGCCAGGAGAAGCCTACCCATTCAGAGATGAGCGTCTCGCTATATCCAAAAAGAAGGTAAATATGTACATAATGTAGATAATAAGTGGGGAATTTATCAAATTACTTCCAATTCATACTTATATACAATGCTGGACCTAGTAATTACGTACATTTACAATTTTTGTAGTCGAACAAGTCACTAGTGAAAAATAAGGTGCAATACGAAATATTTGTGATATACATATGATTTGTGATGATCTACTTTTATGAGAATAACATAGAAAGGCTTATAAGTATATGGTAGACAGGGCGGTTATAATATCGATATATATATATATATATATATATATATACTATAGATAATAAATAAATAAGTCCTTGCGAAGGAAAATATAGAATAAAAACAAATTTTTCAGATCGTCCGCTAGGCCTTTCTGCCTTCTAGGGCTTCTTNCTATTTACAAACTGAATAGCGACGATGTAGTTGCAAGAGAAGTTGAAGAAAATATGTTTATAAAAGTCCTCAAACCCAGCCTGAATGCACAATGATTTTCTCTGTCTTGGTATTGTTTGTGACGTCACTATGCTTGTTTATTTATGACGTCACTAAAATTGTTGACTATACAAATATTGATGACGTCATGTAACCAACGGTGATAAATAAACATCAATCCGCCTGAAGAAGCCCTAGAAGGCAGAAAGGCCTAGCGGACGATCTGAAAAATTTGTTTTTATTCTATATATATACTATATAAAGATCTCTTATGTATAAGGAAACGTAAATCATGATAACGTCAAGAACAACATCGTTTACAGTTCAATGGTATATATAACAAATTATGAGCTATTGTTTGATATTTTCAGACAATCAAAATGATAATTGTGGTCGTGACTGCCTATCTCCTGTCATGGTTACCCCTCCATGTGATTACCATCGTCGGAGACCTGGACCAATCCATTTTTGATGCAGACTATATACATATGACCTGGCTCACAGCTCATTGGCTAGCATTTAGCAACTCGGGTGTCAATCCACTTATTTATTATTGGATGAATGCGAAGTTTCGCCAAAGTGCTGTTTTTTGTTTTTATTCGGTATGCTGTCCTAAACGACATAGAAAACAAATTGTTTATCAACATTGGTTTCATATGACGTCATACCGTCAGAACAACGATAACAAAGGGGAGTATCCAACGCGATGCGATACTGTCATGTCTGTGATGCCGTACCAATGTGCTACCTTTTCATTAATGGAACCAAATAGACATTCCTCAGTGAAATAAAGTATAGACCATAACTGTGAAATATGAAAGAGTGTAAAAAGTA